TTATAGATAATATAGGATGAGAGAGCATGAATGTTAGACAAGTTCCCACTGAAACGGAAAAGTCCATTCCACTAATCCAAACTTCGCCTGCTTTGTCATCAAACTGCTTAAGTCATGATCCAAACTAATATGGTTATCCTCTTATTATACTCCAATCCCTTCATTCAATAGTATAAGATAACATTTCTAAATGTAGGTTGCCTACATAAAAATTTGACCAGTGTTCTTCTCTTGATGTCTTTTATTCCAGTTCAATGTTGAAGATGTATCGAAGTATTTAAGTTTTATTACTATTTGAAACAAAGAACTGATGATCAAAATCCATAACAACCATTTTTGTTGTTACCAAGAGTTTATTAGAAGTGACTAAGAGAATAGTATGGTATTCAGTGCTTCTTCCAAGATAGCTTCCCTAATACAGAGATGTCTAAGACGTGCCTCCATCGTCAAAAAGTTTTGAAATGATGTATCCTGAAACACCATTAAAGATAGCATTTCTGACTTCATGAAACTACCATCACATATGTAATCTTTTCTACAGAACAGCTGCCCAATATAGTGGTACTAAGTTGACATTACACTAAAGCAGATGACAGTTTCAACTCAAGAAATGCTATTTACAGCAGCATCTCTTCCTCTAGAAAATGCTTTTATGATTTTTTTTTCCTCCTACAGTCAAGCTATTGTGGGGATATTTTGAAAACAAAGACTTGAAAAACTTTTCAAAGGGAGTTAGCCTGCTAAAAGGTTTGCCTGTTCTAGACAATTAAGAAATTGCTTTAGAATGACAACATACTTCTGTGCTAACTGTCACGGACAAAACTGTAAACAGGGTGTTTAATATAATGCTCATGTATGTCTGTGTCTTTCGGTTTTGTTCATGCTTTGCACAACATGTAAAGGACTGATAGTAGACTTAGCAGCCCCATTTTTTTTTTGTTTTGGTAGTCATCCTAGACTTGCAAACAAATGTTGTATCATGTGGGCACTTGTGGGGATTTCGGTCTGAGTGGATCATTTTGGACCATTTGTTGTGTGATCGTTCAGAGCTTGTGAAGTCTGTTTGTAATTTGCATTGGCTATGAAATGTTTGCTGAAATGATTGCTTGTGGATCCCGAGTGAGGTGCTTTCTCTATCCCATTTTCTCTTTTGTAGGTCCTAAGGGACCATAGGAGATTTCGGGGAGGCTGACCTTTGCGGATGGACACGCAAGAGTGTCGCACGACTTAAGCAAAACCAACTAAGTGTGTGACATAACGACAGAATCACTTCAAAATTTCCAATATATATATTTACTAACTTGTCTCCTTATTGATCAACAACATGGTATCATAAAGTTTCTAACAAATTGTGCGAACAACAAAAGCAAGATGACAATTTGAATTAATAAAAGAAAAACAAGAGATGTATTAACCTTTAGCATCAAGAATGCAGTCTGACTGAGAAATATGTGTGTATAACTGTACCATCCATTAACGTAACCGAATCTGTTGTCTACACTCGACATAGGGCAGTATGTATTATTTCAGTAAACAACAGTAAACGCACTCAGTGTCTGTATATATAGTACTTGATATTTGATTATTACTCTCGTTTTTAATTTGTTAAAATTTGTTTAGAAAGAAATAGAAAGGAGGAGTCATATTATCATAATTTACCTTTTTTCCTATCCTCCACTTTTTCTCTACTCTTCAGCACCAAACCCTAACTGAAGAATTGGATGATCAGCCAACAGCTTACCATGACATCAGCGTGCCAGAGCAAGTTCTTTGCATAACAGATTATTATTTGGAAAATAATGTAGATGCACATACTTCGTGCTCAAGCAGACACGCAGATGACATTACGATGGTGATTGGGTTTTTATCTCATGAAGCTCTGATAAATATATGCATCTTAAGTTAATCCTGGGTTCTAACTTCTCAAAACTTAGCCAGAAGAACCTTTGAATTTCCCCTTTTCCAATTTTTTTATTGTTCCTCTCGTCTGTGTCACCAGCATGCCACGCAACACTAGCAACCAACTGACTCAAATACAAGCACATCAAGTTTCATCAGTCAACTGGCATATGAGTGTTACAAAAACTTATATCCTTCAAGTGCACATGAACAATTTTCAACTTCAAAAAGTGAGTGATCCATAACCAAAAATTGAATTTTTCAATGATCATTGTCACCAGTATAGCCTGGTTCTCTTCCATGAATTCTTAGTTATCAAAGAGTCCACATCCTTATTCTTGGAGATACAACAAAATACCCATTTATATAGAGTTACCAAAAACCATTATATATCAAATTTGATCAGACTATTTATTGTTATTGTTGCATATGTATATCAACAACCATACTTCCACATAACTTCTATTTATTGACATTCAGGTTCTTGAGGTGTTTTTCCCATTGGCTCTGTGTCAATGAGATGAGAATTGAGATCAGCATTGATACCTATGTCAAAGTTTGCAATTCCATCGCAGGAATTTAGAAGTTGCTTCAATGATTGCATGATCTTAAACTACAACTGATAAGAAAGATACCACCAACTAGCCACTCTGGTTTCTAGAAAAGCATAGGTCGCAAACTTTAAAGTGGGTTTTAGATCGAGATCAGAGAAAGAAAAACTTCATGTCCAGAGTCAGAATAGCCCAAAAATAAAAATAAAAATCACTACTAAAAAAAACAAATCATAAAAACAATTCATCAAATAATACAAGAGAGTAAGAGACATCTTTGCGTAACACATGAATTACAAAAGTTCACATACAATCTAACATCATAAGGTCATATTTCTCAGCCTTGTGAATTAAAGTCAGGAAGAAGTTAGACACATTCTAGCTTTAAAAAAGTGGTGGCATTGATAATCTATTTGCAGGCACGTCCTATAGGTCAAAGTCCATTAGCAAGGCCATCCATCCAAGTTTGTCCCACAATTTTTTTCATGAGTTTTACTGCAATGTTTTAGAGTCATTCATCAAATATCTAATCTCCTTTCTCCATGCAAAACATGCCCCTCACCCTTTAAATCTCCAGCACATGACCACTGAAGTTTTTAGCAGTCCAATCATTCACTTCAAGCACAGAGAGTTTGTTAGTACCCTATAATTATAACCATCTGATTGAACAAAAGCACTTACAGTTAAACCATTTTATACTGTGAATTTTTCTTTTTAGCTCTCCTAGGAGTGGACATTTTTTCTTTCCCAATGTAACTGGAGGACAGGAGAGAAGTAAAAAGAAAAGGAGAGAAAAGAAAAGATGCTCTCCTTTTATTGGACTTTTAATTTTAAATTCATTATGCAGGCATCTCTGTATTAAAAGTGATGTCAGTAAAACTCACAATAAAAGGAAAAAACATATAATTTAAAAAGAAAAAGAAACAACAAACAAGCAGACAATATAAAAAGCTCCTACATACTTCTCAGTTGTCACAATTAAACAAGCCACTATTAAATATCAAATTAACAAATTACTAATTAAGATGAAGAGTGGTGGTTCGCCGGATGTCTCAAATAAAAGCTGCAACTGAAGACCCAAAACAGAGCCGATTCTGTGACCACGATGCAAAGGGACTGGCAGACCAGTAGTAGGCAAATGGTTCTGGTGGAGGGAGAGGCAACAATGACGGTGACTATGAATGGTGATAACAACTGACAAAAGACAGCAATGGTAGATGGCACTTGGCATGATTCCTAGCTTATCCTGACCAATTACCAATAGATCCTGGCAGATTTCTGGTTGCTTCTAGCCAATTTCCAACCTCTCTCTCTAAATACCTAATTTGTCAGCACAGCACAAATTACAATAGGCTGATCAGAGTTCGTTTAGGAGGTTCCAATTCATGTCCATAACAAGTAAGATCTGATTAGCTTGTAGTATTGTCGGGCATAAGATGGAAGGTTGTCTGACAGCTGCTGCAAACAAGCAGGTGAATGCTACAGAGACCGAGGGTCCATGAGTTTCGACTCTAACTGGAACCACGTCGAAAGAGAAGGCTCAGATGAAGATAATAAGATCTCTCATGATTTCATCCGGCAACTGCCTTAATTTATTTATCAAACCATCTCACGTCCCTTATTTTCAATTTCCGAAGCTCCAGTATTGTATTTGCAGAATTTTATCACTATCTGTCAGAGACATGCCTCCTCTGAACCTGACAATCTTATTTGTCTTTTTGTAATAGTCTGACATCCCTTTCACGGACCTTCCATTTGCAATAAGACCACCTAAATACAGTATCTTTCTAAATTTATTAAACTTTGATAAGAAGCCTACTGCTTACATGATGGAACAATCTTTCCTCAAATACTTATTTATAGATGCCAAGTCCTCATAGAAAACAGTGAAAATATATATTTAATGTTATAAGACAAGTTAAAATTCATTAGAAAGATAACAAACCTATACAGTCTAGCAAAAATCATGGCGTGAGAAAATGATGTGAAGAGGATGGCGGAAAGAACAACTAAGACAGGAACTATACAGGCATCAAGAATTAGGAAGAATAATAGCCCCATGTACGCCCAATCAAGTATGACCAGAAGATTAATTGTGCTTGAGGTTCATGTTGTTCTTCGAGTCTCCAAGGATCACAAACTCAAAGTTACTACAGGTCTAAGCTCTAGTCTTCTGTTGATGATAATGAAACAAATAAAGGAACTAAACTCAGACCAGCCTGATAGCAGACAAATAGAATAATGTCAGATAGCCATCTTCATTCGTGCAACAAAAGACGACTTGACAACACAAAGACATGTTCGACACCCCCGTCAGCATACCGAAACAGAAAATTTTTTAAAATGCCAACTGTAGCTAATATGACTCACCCAATATTGCTTAAGTTATTCATTTTAAAATTTCAGATTGGATATTTTCTACAGGGCTTGGCTTTGTTTAGGGTAAACCACTATTAGACAGTGACATGAAATCTAAAACCACAGAATTCATCACCAGCAATCACGTATCAGTATCTTATCTGAGAATCAGAAATTTCTTAGGCTACTCACATAGTGATTCCTCAAAACTATCACTATCCCCAGCAACATTCCATTTTGCAACTTTTCGTACTCTTCCTCTAAATGAAACACCAGGAGTGGCAGAATGCCGCTTACGTTGAAGTTCCTTGACACTTTCTTCACCTATAATGTAAGAACAACCACTTACAAAAGTTGAAAAGTTTTAAGATTAAGGATCAAGCAACAGGCATAGTCATACCTGGAAATGAGTCAGGCTTTGGCGGCAAAGGATAGTTTTCTTCCACCAATTTAAGCAGAAGTTCACGAGGGCCGGAGACAAAGTCATCCAGCTCAAGGCCCTGCTTTAAAAATCATCACAATGCAACAGCCTTTAAGGAAACATAAAATTCTAATCTAAACTGCAGTCTGAGTGCAGTAATTGTCAGATAAACAAGGGGGGAGAAGAGCACCTACATATTTCGTCACAGCCTCCTCGGTTCGAGCTTCTCCTGTACTTTGAAGGCCAATCACAACACACTTACCCTCAGCCAATGCCTTCTTGGCTAGCCTCACAGCAGCTGGAACCTTGGCTGACATACACATATGTCTGAAAAAACGCTGAAAAACAGAATTATCAAATTAGTCATTGTAATCATGAACAAGGTCTTGCTCAAAAGCACACACCTTCCATTAGGTTGAAAAATATTAAGATCAAGATAATGTAATCTTTAAAAAATTTACATTCATATGAGCATGATTGCCTCATATTTTAACTACATAGCCTTGCATAAATGTGCTAGCACACAACAAATCGATCGAGAACTTGATGAATTTTCTACAAGTGCATAAGACCACAACAAAATAGAACTATATTACCTGATGGCTGGCCCAATACAGCCGCCAAACCTGACTAGAGTTTGACTTATCCTCAGAAAGAAAAGCACTTGCTGATAATAATTCAACACGTAGCTCAGCCCAGAATTCAGCAGCCTTCTTAAACATATCCTAATTAATGCAATATAATTGTTAAACTTAAAATCAACTAAAAAGAGATTTCACTGAGGCATCACATCATAAGGAGATCAAATACATAAATCACATGTGACAATATGATCTTTTTCTGACTCCACCTAAAAGGAAATGGAAAAAAGAATTTGTTGGAATTATGAAAATTCTAAGTGAATTAACCAGGCAGCAGGACAAATTGACACTAGAGTATACTCAAGGAAGGTTGACAGATACAAAAATACAAAATTGCAGTTAACAAATACTAAATAATTATGGAATTTGGTTGGTCACTAAACCAATATAACAGCCAAATATTACATGTACCAGAGAAATGCAGCTATCAAGTTCAAGATATAGCTAGTTCAAAGTCACCTTGTTAACATCCTCTAAATTTGACAATCCAAGAACATTTACAAGATTCATTCAATTTTCCAATAATTAGCTCATCCTACAGAACCTTGTGAACAAGAATTGGCATTTTTCAGAAAAAAAAAAAAAAAAGTCCAGGTGATAGTTTAAGATAAGACACTATTTCTGATAAAGGGTCTAAGGTCACTATGCATAACTGAATCAACAAAGCAGACAATCATAAACCAGTCAACATTAACGCACAAACCTTTTTAGAAGCACACTACAAAAAACATCAAAAACTGCCTTAAACCAAATAAATATTATGAGAACACAAACTAGCAAACAATCTCAACTACAAAATAGCAGAGAACTCAGGGTAAATGAAAAGCTGAAAAAGCTATTATACACTAGATAGTGGGCCCCATGCTGTTCATAACTAAACATAAAAGCATTAACAAAAATGAAGGCCATCCAAAGCAGTTGTACTAGCAAATTTTTCAATATGGTCAGCTGCAAATGCTACATTGCTTAAAGCATAATGATGTTAGTGAAGAAATTAAAATTCTATATACTACAAAAGTACATATATGTCATTTCTTCATTATGCTTTTGAAATGTATTCTATTCACTCAAAGATATGGATAAGGCCTGTAAATCACTTACTTTTCCCGAGGTAAGCATGTTGCCATAGTTTTACCAAACTATCAAACCACTAGCAATATCAGTTTCAGAAATAGAAATAGGACAGGAATCAGTAGAATTACATGTTAGATATGACAGACCTCCTTAGGTTTCACAAGAATAAGTATGAACCTTAAAAGTGATCTCTAATAGTTTCAGATCTACAAAAGGTATCATGTTGTCCCAGTGCAAGTTCTGATTACTAAAAGATCCTATAGTGTTAATGTCACAACCTGGGTCTGATGGGCTAATTGGCCTATCAACTTCATTTGACCCAAACCACTGGCCAAAATGCTTAAGCTGAAGTTGAAAGTAGTACACTCATCAGACCTTTATAAATCAATATTAGTCTTGCCCACTTCTGATATTGAACTAATCAGGGTGTTATAATCTCCCCCAATTAAGGACTTGATATCCTCGTCGAGGCCTAACATAACCCAATGGTGGCTCCACGCCATGACGAGTCCTCTAACTCCATCCATGGGTAGACCCTTCCTACTCGAGCCCCCTCACCATGCCCAAATACTAGATCAACTCTGATACCAAATATCACGACTCGAGTTTGATGGGCTGACTAGCCCATCAACTTTGTTTGGCCTAAACCACTGGCCAAAATGCTTAAGTTGAAGTTGATAGTAGTATATTCATCAGACCCTTATAAGTCAATCTTAATCTTGCCCACTTCCGATGTGGAACTAATCGGGATGTTACAATTAAAACTGAAATAAAATTGGATTTTATCGAGAAAAGAAAATACCAATCTAAGGATTGCAATATCATTGGCAAACTCCAATATTACTGTGGCATTTATCAGTTCAATCGGTTGCCAGTTCATGGACCAAGTCTGAACTAGACAGTTCAGACCCAATATAAGGGGTACTGCCCCGAAGACCCCTTGTACTAGCCAAAATGCTTGAATTTTGACCCTTACCAACAACTATAGGTCAGTAATGGTTGGATTTTGAACCGGTACCACTAACCAAAGGTCAAGTCAAATTCAATTTGACAGTCAGCAGCTCTTTGAGGTTTATTTAAGCACCATTTGCTGCCTCCCTTCCTCCTCTCACTCTCACAAACTCCCTCTTTTTTTCACTCTTTCTCTAGAATTTTGACTTAAACAAGCTTAAGCTCCAAAATCGATGAATAGGGGAGGTTGATCTAGATAAAAGAGGTATTCAATCTCAAGATAGATCGCAGATGAAGCCTAGATCCATTCAAATCTAAGCATGATCTTCGCAAATCAAAGGTAGATCCATTGGGATGTACTTTTTGGGCGAATGTGATAGAACCTCTGCGATGTTAACACCAAAAGGGGATCAACATATTTGCAGCCTTAAAATTATGAAGGATCTCAAGGAAAAGAGATGTATGATGATAGTTGGTCAAATTTTTCAGAATTGGATTCATCTTATGCCATAGAGCAGCAGCTCAATGATGATGGTCAAATCTTCACAGTCGTACATCCCATGGTTATACTTTTCATAGGAGGCTTTTACCACACAAGTTATTTAATGAAGATGAGGCAACTATTGTTACCATATTGATCCATCATCAATGACACTATTTACAAGTATAATATATGGTGGGAACTGTTCCATACATACAATATCCACATACTGCTTCAAAAGATCGAGGACCCCGATCCACCAACCCATCACAGACGATCGTCGTACACCCACAACACGTTCATCTACAGATCGTTCGTCACTTTCATTTGTTTGTACATATGCTTAGCAATGTGTTTTGCCTTGTTTTTATGTGTTTTTGCTTGAAAACTGGGCAAGAATAGTTTGCAAGGCTACAGAGAGACTGCTAATGAAAAAAAGCAAAACTATCACAGAGTAGCCTAATTTTCACATTTCATGACCTGGTTTCTGCATGCTGCAATGCGATGTGAAACGTCAACCATCTCGGCACCCTGGAACCACCCGAGTGACACAAGGTTGGATAGGAGCTTCGGGTAGTGTTGGTCGCTGATTAGATTAACAAGTTCCAACGTAAAGCCTACTAGAACTTGCCAACGCGCTCAACATCAGGTGAGCAGTCGTTTGTGGACTTGCGACTGTTCGTTTGCTTTCTAAAGTCCTTGTTTTCTCCTTCCTCTCTTTTCTCTCTTATACATCAAGTGTTTGTTGAATTACTTGTAAAGCTGATTTCTTTGCAAGATATCAAGACTTGTCCGTCGCTCGTTTTCAGAACGAATCAATTTGCTCTTTTACAGGTCCTTCGAGACCTGAGTGAGGTCACAACTAGGATGACCCTTTGCGGATGGATAACGCAAGGGTGCTTCACGACTTAGGCAATTCTAGTTAAGTCAGTGACATTATGGTATCAAAGCTAGCAAGAACTTCAAGCAAACAGCGAAAGTTCGCAATCTTGCCATAGCTAAGAACCATGGTCAATCGACCAAGATAGGACAAGCCAGACCATCGCCCCAAGCAACCGTAGGTGGGCTAAAAGTGCAAACTCGCTCTTAAGCTATCGAAGCCGCTCAAGTGGAGCACGACAACGAAAATGACAAGCGAGAACTTGACTATTCTTAGCGCGGAGGAAGCTCAATCTAAAGCACCAACTGGATGAGAAGCCATAAGGAGAGGCTTACAACTGTGGAAACCCGCCTTGATGTTCTCAAAGCGAGTCCAGAGGAACTCTACAAAGGCCAATGAATGCTTCTTGGCATAGAAAACTCGTAAAAGGAGACGAATTGCGAATCGACAAGGTCGAGTCCCAAGTAAATCAATTGACAGAAGACACCAAAGCCTTCGTGCAGCACCTACACGAAATCGTCGCAAAATGTTCAGGATTACGTTGCTCACGAGGGCTCTTAATGTAGGAGGGAGCAACACCCGTGTTACTGTTAGAACCCTTGCAGATTCTAAACTTGGGGTTGATCTCTTTAGGGGATCGGCCCTTGCAGAATCCTTGGAACTCTATAGGGGTTTCTCCCTCCAAGTTGCTACTCAAACGTTACAGAAAATATTCATATATTGCTTATGAAAAAAGAAGGAATATATGATTATTTATAGGGCTTCTAAACCCTAACTCCTAATAGGACTCCTACTCAAGACTCTTACTTCTAACCAACTCCTAATATGACTCCTACTCAAGACTCCTATTCCTTTACAACTCCTAATTCTTCTCAAAGAAACAACCTCCTAACCCTAGCCGGCCTCTTCACATCTTTAATAGAGGTCGGCTTAGGTAGGTTTTACATGAATGTCCCTCTCAATTAGGACTCTCCTAGCTAGAGTCCTAACAGTTACTCCGTCACAAAACTTTAGGGCACCTGAGCCACATTGCTACAGACCCGTCAAGGATGCGAAGGAGCTCGAGAATTTTCTATTCGACATTGAACGATACTTCCGAGCTACAAGGCCTGATTCGGAAGAAACCAAAGTTTCAATAGCAACTATGTATCTGAATGGGGACGCAAAAATTTAGTGGCGAACACGTTGGGAAGAGATCTAACAAGGTCGGTGTCGAGTGGACACATAGGAGGACTTAAAGTGGGAGTTAAGAATTCAGTTCCTACCCGAGAACACTGAGTTCGTCGTAAGAAGGAAGCTGAGATAACTCCGCCAAAGTACTTCCATTTAAGACTACGTGAAGCAGTTTTCAACATTGATACTGGACATACAAGATATGTCCGAGAAGCACAAGCTATTCGGCTTCTTCGATAGCCTGAAGTCATGAGCACAATCTTTGTGAAATCGCCCATCTAAGTATTTCTATGGGAAGTTCACAATCGAGCAAAAGAAAAAGAGTTCCCACAAAGAGTCGAGTTCAAAAGGAAAGGTCCCAAAACCTAGCAACTGCTTCATATGCGAATGATCGCACATAGTGAGAGAGTGCCCACAAAAGCAAGCACTCAATGCATTGATAACATCAATCGAACAAGGGCAAGGCCATCATCCATAGTTTAAAGTTCGAAATCTAGCAACAACAGCGAGGAGTCACAAGGACCA